TCTCTCTCTCTCTCTCTCTCTCTCTCCTCTTCTCTTCCCTCTGTCTGTGTTCGAAAGAAAGAAAAAAAAAAAAAACTGCCTCGTTTTGGGCAGTTTGGCCATTCAAGCTTAAAGAATTTTGAGCTGCGAATCATTTTTCTTTTGCATATTTGCTACAAAAAGACATACAAAAAGTAGAATGAATAATTAACAACTTATAATGACTTGTTAATTTTTTGATTAAAAAATTTACTTCCAAACAAGGGTTCAGAGTATCCCACTCTTCACAAGAGTAAATTTTTTTTTGTTGATATTATTCACAAGATTAAATTTGTTTGCTCAGAAAAGTTGCAATTTTTATTTTATTTTTTTTTTAAATTTGAAAAACCAAAATCCGTTTAAATTTTTTTTATAGTATTTTAAAAGCTTATAACCCAAAACTTTTGATATGTGAAGTTTTTGGGTTAGTCAAGCTTATAACCCTAAAATACTGAAGTTTTTTAGTATTCTTTTTAGTATTTTAGGTTTAAACTAGTGCAAATAAATAAAAATTAAAAAAAAATCCATCCAAACATAGCCTCATTCAAAAGTTTTGATATGTGAAAAGTAAAAAATCTAGGTGATGCCCAAGTTAGAAGACGGTAATTCAGGTTAAGTAGAAAACTAGTTCAACTCAAAAGAAATCAATTATTACCTAAGATGACAAAAAGTAATTTTTTTTTTCTGCATTTTCCCTTTTCAAGAATTTACAAATTTCCCTATCTAAAAGAAAAAAGAGTTTAAAAATTTCTTTCATAAATTTATAATTAAAACAAACCTTAAAACTACCCAACAAAATGTTATTAGAAAAAACAAAGTTTTTTAAAATTTGAAATTGATGATCGAATTTAAAAGATGAAACTCTTTTATGAGAAGTACAAACTAGTATTAATTTGCAGGGTTCTCATTAGAAGTTAGACCGAACTCTGAAAGTGGATGAGAATATCTTGTAGTGCTAGTTCCAACAGTCCAAATTTAAGGTTAATAAAAGATGATGCTATTTTTGAATGTGTAACTTAAAATAAAATACAATATTTTAAGGTCATTTTATTTATTTATTTACATTTTTTTTTTCAAAAAATCAAAAAACAACTATTTTAGCCAAAACCAACCAAGGCCATAATGCTCATACTAGTCAATCATAGTTCAGTATTTGGCAGATTTCACATAGAAATTGCAACAATATAAGAAGACAAATTACCTTCTTAGGATGCAATCAATAACAATTCCAGCACACCAAACTAGTTTCCCTTCATTTAATTGTGTCATCTACATTAGCGATTATTTCCATGGTTGTTTTTGTTGCGGAATAAACCACAGATACAAACAATACCAAAGCAAATCAATAAAAAATAAAAAATAAAAAACCAGGACACATAAAAATTACGTGGTCACATCCATTGGATCAACGATTATATGTGGAAGTTGTTAGTAAAAATTATATTTTATTCCCAGTCGACAAGAATTAAATAACAATTCAAACCCAACAATTAAATAAAAGTAACCAGGCAACTGTGTAATTGATTGAAATACCTCAAAAGAATGAGGACTTCTTTGGAACAATTTACAGTTACAAAGTAAACAAAAGATAATTTCCAGATGAAACTATCAAAGTTGACCAAGTCACAAATTACGAATTACAAAAGAAACTACTCCTAAACTAATAGAAATTACTCCTAGATACAAGCTAAGTCTAAAAACTAGTTTTTTGAATGTAACAACATTGGAAGTGTAATGGGCCCAAGTTGGAAGGGTGATTCTTCCATTGTAGAGAATCACATTTATGTTGCTGAAGATGAAAGATAGATAACAAGTTCGGAAAACCCATCTTTTTGCTTTCACGACCACTCTCGCCGTCGTTTGGAAAACCAATTATGAACAAAAGCCTGATGTTCGGTGCTATTTAGCCAAACAAAAGGCATACGTTCGATTGCGGAGTACCAAACATATTCATTCAACAAGTTCAGTGTGTAACTGAACGAAGAGAAATTGACCAACTTGTGAGGCAGAAAGAGAAATCGATGGAGAGAGAGAGAGTTTCTGCACAAAACAGAGAAAAGAGAGTAGGTTTCGAAAGATGAAGATGAAGATCACGAAAAAAAAGTTCATGAATTAGTTGCTCCTTCTCCGTCGTTGTCGCCACTGCCAAAACCCTAATCTTTGCCTCCATTGATAGTTCACTAAACAACAAGTGGCAGCAAGAGGCTTGCCAAAGGAGGAAAATAAGGTGTGTTGGTTGTCGAAAGTCGCTGACAGTAGTGGAAGTGGTGGTGGTGGAATTAGGGTTAGGGTTAGACTTGGAAGGATAGAATGAGAACAAAATTGAAATTTGATGTTAGGACAAAATTGTAATAAAATAAAATATAAAAAACAGAGGATCCAAACTAAAAGGGTAGAGACATTTAGCTGCCCTCCAAATTTAACATAATTATATCGACCTCTTTTTTAATAAAGCTAAAGCGACCAAAACTTATGTAGATGTTATGTAAACACAATTATAAATAAGGATAAAATAAATATTTCAGAGTAAAAAAAGATGACAATGTTATTTTATCCATATAACTAATAAATTACTAAAGAAAAATGCGTTTAAGGTTATGCAAATTAAAACCCCAAGAGAGTTTAGTGTAATTATATCAAACTTATAGGGCTTAGATATAGTTTCTCCAAATCTAAAAGGGGGTTAGTGTAATTTACCCTAAAAATCTATTACAACGTCTAAATAAGGAAGTAGACCAAAAGCAAGGTAAATTCCCAATGAAAAAAGATGATCGGTCTGCCAGAAATTGAAAATCTGAAAATCATAAGATCATTGAAAATGACTCATTTTTTCAGTAAACAAGAGTTGCCTGTTACATATGATACAAGGGAGTGAGATTGGCTATCCAGCTGAGGATGTTCTTGCAAGGACAATCCTCCTTAAACAGAAAAAATTTCAAGATCGTGAAGTATGAGCTTTGGAAACTCTAAGATTAAGGGCGACTGTTTGACTTTCGCAGAACCTCCTTCAGGACCAAAGCGATTCTCTGTGACATGTGGTGTTCCATAAACCGTTCTTTAACCCTCTCGTACCCTTTCTTTCCCATGGTAAGTCTCCTCTCAACATGTGTGGCCATTTTGACAATATTTTCAGCAAGTGGTGTTACGCCTTCTTTCCCGGCTTGATGTAACCATCCGGTTGTTCCATTAACCACGATTTCCATTGTGCCACCAGCTGCTGTACCCTGATATAAAACAATATTTACCGAATTAGTATTTATGCCATTTGAAAAATGAAAATGTTGAGTTGAAGAAACAAATGTGCATGTGCACACACAGACCGACACATGTATTTCGCCCCTTTAAATGGCTAAAACTGTTTCAGTGTACAATCACAACAATCAGAATCGAAGGGAATAATCTGGAAAATCATATGGCAGGCTCATTGATATTGATTTTGACATGATAGTCAAGTATTTTAATATGAAAAACAAAAAACAATAGTGAACTAATAAAGTCATTTGGTTGCTGGGTGCAAAGGAGCCAATACCAACAAGAGATGTTTAATATCAAAATGTGCAAAATATCCGGAATTTCATCCCACCACACCTGCACCTTGCAGACGGGGGACAACATATTGATCTCATTTCTTAATTTTGTGGGAAGTGGAAATTGAAAGATGTGCAAATAGTTTATGCTATATATAACATTTTAGCACTATTTTTATATATGTTTTTAGTGGATCTTATGCTGGTCTTGAATTAATTTACAAACCACTGACTGCCTAATTATGCCATTTGGATCTGTGGAAAATGTGAGCACGATACTGTGTGGCACTATGTTCATCTTGATCATCTGTTTTCTCTCCTTAATTCCTTCCTTTGTGTTAGCAGAGCCACTTCAAAAGTTCTTTTTTTTTTTTCTATTTTTTTAATAAGTAAAAATGACTTCAAAATTAAGAGGCTGGCAAACTTTGATCTTGATGTTAAAAGATCAAACAAAAATCAACATGGGGTAAAAGCTTCAAAGACTTGAGTATTTCTTAACAGGGGGCAACAGCTACAGCTTAAGACTTGTATTTCTTAACAAGAGGCAACATAAAAATCTTTGACCTAGGGATTAACAGCAACATAGCAGATAATTTTTTTATTTTTATTTTTTTAGATTGGAACAAATAAGTCTTTGGTGCTAAAAGACTCTGGAAATTTGTCACCTGGCTAAAAAGCAATTCAAATCCCAAACCAACAGTGTTGGGAATTTATTTTTTTTTTCCAGGGTATATTAATATACCAATCAGATTCGTCTATTTAATAAGCACACATGATGAGAAAATTGGTAAAGGGCTCACCAATACCGGCTGTTGAAAAGCCATAGCTTCAATGGTTATCCTCCCAAAGCACTCTCCCCGAGCCTACACAAGTAAAGAACCAAGCTTCAGCAATGAAACTTGAACTGAAATCAATATCACTGCCACATATATGCCAGCCATTAAATGGAAAGAAAAAAATTGACGAAGGATACGACCAAATAGGTATGGGGCACAAATATGACATATACAGACACACAATTTTTATTTATTATCTTTTTGAAAAAGGACATAGCATGGCAAGGACACAACAACAAATAACTATATCTTCATATGAATAAGTGACAATAATAACTATTTTGTTACTTTTAGATTACAACTACATGTATATTTTATTATATCAAAATAGTAAAAAATCATTTTCTACATTACATATTAAAAAAGAAATGTGAATAAAAAGTCTCCGTTTCTGATTTAGAAAACTATATTTATACACAAATTGAAAGTTTTGGGCTTTAAAATTTCTAAAATTAAAAAGTCTAAAGGAGGAGGGATTAATAGGTAAAAATTCACATTATTTTTATTTTATCATTGGATCCAAAGTTAATTTCTTTTGAAATTGAAACATATTTCATGTGTATCTAAACAATTGATATGTGTGTCCCCCAACATCAAAAACATGTCCCATTCTAAAAAAATAAAAAGTAATACAGCATATTTTTAGACACGTTTCCAACAAGTATTGAGGAGTGTTCGATGAGTGTCAATGTCGGACATGCACACACCTTTTTACAAGTGTTCATGATTCTTAGACAAAAATTGACTAGACCTCAAACAACGGATACAGTTGAGGATAAAAGTAACAAAGGCATGGAAGCTAAAATATTCTAACTCAGGGTCAATAAACACCCAAAAGCCCAACCAACAGATTGTCTCATATATGTACCTTCCTAAAAAAATTGTTTGTATGGTATAAAATCTTAATAAAAACGACAAAGCTTCTCCAGTTGAGGTATTCACTAAATACACACAATAAGACAAAAGGGTTTGGGGGTCTCTTAGAGTCCAAGGCAGTCCAACCCTTGTTGAGGCATTAGGTGAAATCTCAATGAGAGGCCATTTTTCACATTTTAGATAATATATTCTGTTTTTTTACATCACAAATTTTTACTGTAAAATATAAGTTTTTTCTTAAAATTTGGATTATTCATAGCCTTTATTAGGGATTTTTGGACAAGGAGAATTTTTTATTCAAAATAATAATAATTTGGAAATTTGGATAAGAGATATATTTTTTTATTGGGACTGTGAAAGTGTTCTTTTAAGCAACAGCTTTGGACAAGGAGGATTTTTATTAGCATTTACTATTCAAGGTCCTTGAACAATAAATATTTTGTTTTATGCCTATGGACAAGGAAGGGTTTCTTTTTATGGTGCCTTTTGAACAACAAATTTTATTAGGTTTTGGACGAAAAGGTTTTTATTTTTATTTTTAGACAACTTAAAAGTTTGGGGCCTTAAGTGAGGGCCTTAATTGCCTAATGGTTGGGCCGGCTCTGCTTAAAAGTGTTACAAAATTTCCAGTGAAGTCATTTTTCACTTTGAGGGTTGCCAGTTTTTCTCGTCAAGAAAGTGTTTACTACTAGATTATCCTCTTAAATCCACATTCCTCTTTTGGGTAACATATTTATTGGATCTTGTAGGTACTTGTATCACGCCTGATACGTGGCAAGCCCTACAGGTGCCACATCATTAAAGCCCTGCCCGCGTGGCAAATTGACAAGGCATCACGCGGACATATCGCATGCCTAATATATAGTGAGCCCTACGGCATGATGTCACCAATACTCCGTCTGCATGGCAAACCGCCAAGGCACCATGCAAAACCAAAACCACATGCTTAGCCTAAGCAAGAGCATGCACACAAGGCCAAGTATGAAGAGCCTTGCAACAAGCAACACCATGACCCCCTAGGCCCAAGGTCCTTCATACCTCGCTTGTTCCAAGTCTAACAAGAAGGTAGTCAGGCCCCGGCCTACTTGAACACGTTGGACAGGCCCTTGGTCCATTCACCTACTTTGTTGCCTGGGTAAGGAGTAGGACTCAGGCATGGGATCATCAAAGAATCTTAGTCTAGAGGCTAAAGTTAGGGGATCGTCAATATGGTTGTTTTCTTGCAAAGTCAACTCCATCTTGATTAGGTTTGCAGAAGAAATGATGGGGACCTTACGCTTACCGCCTGATGCACGTATGATATGTTGCTTCCAAATTGCCATCAAACCACAGGCAGCAGTAGGGCTTGTATCAACTTCTAACAAAGTTGGGAAAAACAAGCCATATGTCCAATAGATTGCTTGGGCTCCAATGCTCCGGGAACCTATATAAAATATCATATATGCAGTAGGCAAAGACAAACAAATCTTACACTCAGGCTTACACTTCTACTCCTACATACACACACTAAACTCATACACAAGTGTTCAAGGTCCATCACTGCCAACCTCTCATTCTCCAAGCTTGCCTTAGCCTTCACTTCTCACCTCCGGTGATCTCAGGCCATTGAAGTGCCCGCCATCTTCCCACAGGTCAACGACCAACTACCTCTACCCATGCTCACCCACAAATCCAAAGTAAAATTCTTTGAAATTGCAACACGTTTCATGTGTATCTAAACAATTGATATGTGTGTCCCCAAATGTCTGGAGCATGTCCAATTCTAAAAAAATAATAACCACATGTTTAGACACATTACCGACACATATTAGGGAGTGTCTAATGAGTGTTAGTGTCCGATACAGACATAACACCTTAAAAGTGTTTATGATTCTTAGACAAAAATTCATTAGACACCAGCAACGGAAAAAGGTAACAATGGTAGGGTGGCTATATCATTCTAACAATGGTAGGGTAGCTATATCATTCTAACTCGGTGTTTATAAACACCCAAAAGTCCAACCAACAGATTGTCTCATATACCTTCCTCAAAATTTGCTTGTATATTATCAAATCCAATTCAAAAAGATGAAGCTTCTCCACTTTAAGTATTCACTAAACACACACAATCAGATAAGAAGGATTAGGGGTCTCTTAAGAATCAGGGGCAGCCCAACCCTTAATGAGGCTTTCAACAAAATCTCAATGAGAGGCCTCTTTGAACATTTAAATTAATTCATAGCCTTTACTATTAGGGACTTTGGACAAAGAGAGTTTTCTACTCAAAAAAATAATAATTTAGGTCTTTTGATAGGAAATATATTTTCTTTTTCTTTTTTGTGGTTGTTGTTGAGCATTTAGACAAATAACTTAAAAGTTTGGGGCATTTGGTGAGGGCCTTAATTGCCTAAAGGTTGGGCCAGTTCGGCTTACAAGTGCTACAAAATTTCAACTAAAGTCATTTTTCAATTTGACAGTTGGCAGCTTTTCTCTTCAAGTCCGCGTTAAAGGCTGCAGTATTATCCTCTTAAAATCATATTCTTTTTATGGGTAACATATTTAGACCAGACTTTGCACATCAGATATTATCTCAAGAAGAAAATTTTAGCTGATACGTGTGAATCCCATACAGCAAACTAAAATCAATGAACTGCGTAGGTTTCATTGTCCATTCATCTCTGTTATTTGGAGTGATTGCTTAACCTGAGTGGGATCTTATGGGTGCTTCTGTTATTATAAAGGGACTCATCTTTCTCATAACTTGAAGGGTTGGACCAATGAAGGAAACAATTTGTGCAGGTTTTAACAATCTCTTCTTCTCAAAAGTTTTGATGGCTAGAAGAGTCTCCTATATAGGTTCATGGTTTTCTCTATTTAAGAATTTCACAGGAATCTTCTTTCTTTCTTTTTTTTCTGGTGGAGCTCTAATTTCTGTCTCATTCTCTGTGCCACTTTATAACTTTTATCTTCGGGGAAAATTACTTAACATGCATCAAACCTAGCTGCAGATTCTCAAAAGCTATACTCAGCAAGGTGCAAAGGCAGAACAAATTTTATAGTTCATTTTGTACGAGCTCAAAATCTGTGATGTGTATTGCCACTTAAACCTTTGACAATCTAACATCCAAATTAGATTTATAAGATTGCAACAGACTTTGATTTACCACGAGTAAAATGCAGTTAAATATGGTACCCAAATGCAGTATTTAAGTAAGGAAAGAAATGTGAACAGAAAAAGACGAATGTAATGGTTATATATGTTAGGAAAAGTGGTTAGATTTATGGTCCAAAAGAAAAAAAAAAATTGTTGGTTCCACCTTTGACATTAACCAGGAATAGCACTTTTATGAGGCTAGATTCCAATTTGTATATAAACATAGCATTTTGATTAAGAAAATAGTACAACTACCATAAACTGTTACTTAAGGAACCTCTTGTCCTCAACTTCATCAAAAATTTTCAATTAATGCAGTCTTTTCTTCTGTCAACTCATAGATCACTTGTCATGCTATTAGTAAGCAAGGGATGACAATTTAAACCCGACCCGACGGGGACCCGCTCCCCCGACCGATTAGAGTGGTTTTTTCCTGAAAAATATCCCCGACGGGCCGGGGATGGTATTAAAAAATAAATCCCCGGTGAATTTTGGGCTAGGGACGGTAATATATTTTCCAACCCCGGCCCTGGCCCCACGCCCGTTTCCCCCCGACTATATATATATATATCCCTTCGCTCTAATAATTTTGACCCCCCCAATCTCTCTCTCTTTCTGGCTCTCTCTCTCTCTCTCTCATTCACTCTTGCACCTCTCCTCCAGAGGCGACACCGCCACTGTCCGCTCCACCTCCGTCGCGACCCTCTCTCTCTTCCAGTCGCCACCACCTCCTTTGTCCCCTCCTCTCATCTTCGTCGTCCTCCTCCGTCGTCCATGGCCGTCGATCTCCTTCGTTGTTCGTCGCAGTCACCATCGCAACCAATCTCCTCCGTCGTCCTCTCGGATCTGTGTTGATGATGCACGCAGCACACTCAGATGATCTCCTCCGTCGTCCTCTCAGATCTGAGTTAGATCTCATCACTCATGTATACATGTGTCTCTTTCTGTCAAATTTTTTTTTTTTTAATTTGTTAATGATTTTGTTGTTGAGGTTGAAAATGTATGTGTCTCTATGTTGTTATTGATCTGTTTGATGATGTTGATGATTTTGTGTGTGTCTTAGATCTGTGTTGTTGAAAATGTATGTGTGATGTTGTTGTTGATGATGTTGAAACAAATTTAGGCCGGGGAATTTTTGGGGTCGGGGAAACCCAATTTTGTTTGGGATGGGTCCCGGGGCAGGGGCGGGGGCGGGGACGGGGACGGGGACGGGGAGGGTGATAGGTTTCCCGTCGGAGATTGGAGTCGGGGCCGGGGCATTTTTCCCCATCGGGGATCGGGGACGGGAAGTGTGATCCCCAGCCCCATCCCGCCCTGTTGCCATTCCTAGTAAGCATGAATAAACATGACTGAAGTAAAAAAGGCAAAGGAGTGATATTAGTTAAAAGGTAAATGAATCCTACTAAAACGAAGAAGTAGAATGTCAAACCGAAAGAAAAGATAGTGTATACAGGTGACACTCCTTTACTGAATTTACTCTTATAAACTATGACTCATGGAAAAAATAGAAAAATGAATAAATAAAATAATGCTTGCAATGTGAACTGACACCGTAATTCAGCGGAAGTACCTGGGAGTTCTGAACAAGAACATCAATGGACGCAAGATAAGGAGCTACATTAAGGGTTTTGTTGACAAAGTGAACACGATCTTGAATTTTTTTCTCTGCCACAAAGTTACGCAATTCTGTTTCAAACTTGGTCTGAGCATTCATATCACTTCCCACTATTACCGCGTGCAATGATGGCACTTGTAGTTTCTTCTCTTGGATTAGCTGTAGACTTTCATGGAAGGAACGGAGAAATAAATCCTGACCTTTCCCACGTGAAACACCTGCAGTTATAAGGCGCCTAGTGCTTAGAAACTACGAAATCGCATACGTATAATTATATGCATGTCTAATAGGATGCCATACTAGCAAAAGTATATAAATATTTTCACCATTGATGCAGCCTAGTTGATGATGGACTCATGTAATGATGAATTGATAGAGCTTAGTAGAGTTCTAATTTTTTGTTTTTGTATTTTTTTGTATTTTGTTTTTAATACAGAATACTGCTGTGTTTTTAAGTTTTTAGGAGTTCTAAAACAATCTTAGGAATATGATTTGATGTTTTATTTGTTAACATGAGAGAAATATGAGTTCTAGACAATTTTTGCACGCTTCTAGGGTTTTATGAAGTCTGTAATTAAGCCTTGTTGGTGTAAAATCAAATTAGCCTTAGAAGATGAGAAGTACGAAGAATTTTTGAAAGAGCTACTGCTCTCTCCCCTATTGTCCTTTATGCTACCGTCTACACTCAATTTGTCACACTATGCACCATCATCAGCCATAAACTAGGACAAGGTCAACTTTATTACCTCAAGGAAGGAGGGGAAACAGGATTGCAATAAGTGCAATAATCACCCAAGCTGAACGAGGAAAATGAAATTGATTTCCAAAGGAGGAGACGCTTCTTTATACTGGGCAATTTCTATCTATGGAACAAAGTTTAAAGTGGAAACTAATACCAAAATGATTTATCATAAACCAAAGACGGGCTATCAAAAACCACAATGGGCAGACGACAATCATGATACATTGATATATAAAATGCCATCAATACTTCACAGAAAGACATTTCTTTGGTAAAGAGCTTTTCACTCAGTGGAGTCTTTTGTTCTATGGTTTTGGACTCATAGCATGGATTTATCAAGATACAGAGACACCAAGATGGCCAGTGGAACATGAGCAGAGTGAAATGACACCCTATAGTTTTCATTTTCCTTCTCACAATCAAAATCCAATTTACTTTCACTCCAAATAGAAAAGCAAAATCATCAACTTCTGAAAAAATTTGTGAGTTTATACTAAAGAGGAAGGCATGTGCGGCTATTTAAATGCCACATAAGGATTGCATCACCAAGCATATAAGGACAGATGTATAAGGCAAACCAAATTCACAGAACTGAGTTTTAAAAACAATACTAGTTGAATTAAAGCTAATACTAACAATCGCAACAAAATATGTCAACTTGATTAGATGTGAGCTCAAACCTGCTGCAACTACCATGCCTACCCAACCCAACGTGAATAATAATTATTTTCAATGAAAAGTGCAACCATTTAACTAGCAAAGAAGTGGGCATACAATATTAACTTTAAAATTCCTGTCACACTCTAATTGAGGACAAACTTATTATCTCAAAAACAAGAAGAGCATACCATTTTTTTTTTTTTTTGATAAATAAAGAAGAAGAGCATACTATTGATAGCTGCAAAGAGCAGATCTTCATTCCGCACTCCAAGGGATTCTCGTACATGCTCACGAAGAACCCGTTTTGCCACGCTGTTTTCAGCTACTTCCATTAATTCTTTGCTATTCCCAAGGTGCACAACATAGGTCTCAGGCATTTTAATCCTGCACAATGTAAAGATGATACAAGAAGCTGATTAGGCAGTAAATTGCAACATAACTCTACAAATAAAATTACAGAATAGGTGCTTGAAGCCTTTAAGTTTCAAACATCAAAGGTTGTTCATCAACAATGGAACCAAGTACCCAGAAACATGGTATGGGGTTCTTTTTTTTCCTTTTTTTTTGGATCAGCAGCATGGGGTCCATATATCCAAGAGTCTATGGATTCCAATATGCCAACTTTCTCATTACAAGATTTGGCTAAATTCAAAATTCAATAGTTATCTAACTCTTAAACATAGATACCAATAAAGTAAGTTCATTTAAAAACCATTCACATCCAAAATCAGAAGTGCTGGCTCTTTATTAATGTGCCACTTACCACCTCATCCAAAAATATCAACTGGTAATATATATAACAAGACAAACTGGAGCATAGATCATTGTTGCTGCATTACATGGAGGACCATGGAAAGCTTCTTAGCACTTGGCAGTTGGCACATGTCTAAGCTTCAGCATGCTGAAGAACTTCAATTTGGTAACGTTTTATTCAAATCAGTGAATCACTGATATTTCCTTTCTCAACTTGTGCTAAAGATTCTTTTTAATGTGCAACATAAATTTTTTGTTCCATATGTTTTTAATGACTATCATCTAGTTCATTAAATGTTACAAGAAGGAAAAAGGAAAAACTCAGAGGCAATGTTATGCCAGAAGCAACATTAGCAGCTATGATGCATGCAAGTGGATCACAGAATACATGTCACACCCTTTTACAGTAAATGCCAGCAAATAAGGAAGAAGTCAAGACAAATTTGTACAATAATCCGAGGATTAAATTAAGAAAACCTATATTAGCCAAACACTAAACATACAAGATAAAGCCATTAAAATCACTTGCTCAGCACACATCAAACAAAGCAACCTGAGGAAGACAAGCACTACAGTGCATCACATATATACATATATATGTGAGTCTGTGTGTATATTTGACCTTATAGTGACAGAAAAGTACAGCAACTAATGGAATAACATGCAATAAATGGTTACACCTAAAGATTTAGCAAGCATACCCTAAACGCTCCCGAGTCCGGTTCTTCCAGTATTCTGCTGTTGTATAGGAGTCAATCATAGCACCTGCAACAAAAGGGAGGTGCTTAACATACTCCACTTTAAAGTAATGCCCTCGCATTTCATGAATCCACCATAAAACCTTTGGAAGGATGCGAGGTACATTTTCCTTGAGAACGGCATCTAGCCACTTCCCGGCGACTGCAGTATTTAAAATGACCAAATCAGCTTTAAGAGCTGTATCTATAGCTTTTTGACCCTTAGCAGAGACAACCTGAAAGAGTTCAGAAATCCAAAATTAAAAGATTAATGCCTTACTGGATAACAAATGCAAATCAAAGTCCCAATTTCACATACAATGATTTTGCATGACTGGATGTCAGGCACAAACTTTTGTCCTCAACAATATACATAGTGATGCAAGGATGACAAACAGATCTGCAAGATCTACACCACTGTGATGTTGATTCATAGAAATTGATGGATTCAGATAAACATTTACAGAGTGTTTACTTTCAGTTTTATTTTTTACAAAATAACAGGAGTCAACATGAATTGCTTTATATAGAATTAGAGAGCATGTTGTTGATTTAACAAAATGAATTTATGGTACCTGTACACCTCGGTCCAACATCTTATGCTCCAAACTGTAAGTCACCTCATCTGGTTCGGTTGGTTTCTGATTAGTAATCCAAACAACTTCTGCACCAACACCTCTTAAGAGAAATGCTAGCTCCATCAATAATAAAGGTCCACCTGTGGAAAGATACTACATGTTCAATACTTCTTGCATATAAAAAAGTAAAAGACATTATTAAGGTTTGGACTAAAAATTACAAGCATGTGAGAGGGGCATAACTTAAGAGTTTCTTGGTCAATCTGCGCTGGCCAAAAACATAAAGAGAGAACAAAAAGAAACATTGGGCATCTATTTCACTTGGAAACAATAACTAAAATGATTAGCATCACCAACAATATCTCTATTCACTAATACAGATATTAATGTTTTTATATCGAATTTTCATATCTAATAGTTTAAATGATTAGTGGATGAGTGAGAATTATAATCTAATAACACCAAGGCTTCATTTCGATACATGGACTTGAAATGAAGGGATTTGATGTTCAACTTTATAAAATTGTAAGAAAGTTGATTAATGGATATAGATTGGTAATTCTAAGGTAAAGGATGCATAGAGATAGGAAAGGTGCATTTTGTTAATATTTTTGTATAAGTAGAATCATTCATGGAAGGACATCAAATAATCATGTTCACTTATTTATTTCAAATCCATTAGTCTAAAACTCTCAAATCCATTCTTGAAATCCACAACTAGAATATTACATTGAATTAAATGTTATACTCCTTGAATGAGTGATGTTAAATCATTCATTTCAAATCCACATATCGAAATGGAGCCTAAAAGTCTAACATACATTAAACTGTTCATGAGAGGAAAAAGATTCCAAAGAACAAAAGCAATTATGACAAAACTAATGGATGAAAACTTCTATTCACACCTCTTAAATTCCAAGACAACCTATTTCCATCATCAATCTTCTTACAATGGTAGCCTAATAATCAAAATAGAAATAACTTTACTAGCAGTAGACCATCAAACCCTCATTGTCAACATGTTTCTCTCCATTGCCCATGTCATAATCTAAACATGTGGGAATAGGGCATGTGGAGCCATAATAGACATACTTACATGCAGGTATTCTTTGACAGAAAATGACATGAATGTACTTCCCCAAAGGACGTACCTATTTTCTTTGGTTAAGTATGAAAGATAACAGCCGAAACAAGATCGACACCATGATAGTTTTCTTTGTAAAACTATAAAGCACCTAGGTAATGGAACAATGTCGACACCATGATAGCTATTCCAACTGATTGATGACTAGACCTTCTTTTAAGGTACAAGAAAGTGCTATCATTTTGAAGGATATTGTCGAATTACCCTTAGGCTGTGTTTGGTTTATGGATTTGGAAAGGAAAAGGGACAAGGTGTGAAATGTAGTTGAAATCTAGATATTTTTTATTCGCATTTCACTTACCCTTTCCCTTTCTCTTTCCAAATCACAACCCAAATGCATGAACCAAACACAGCATTAGTGCCATCACGTTCGAGGAACAATTAAGAGGTTAACCAATCCAAAAACACGTTTGTCTTTGTTTTCATGGTCAAAGCTACAATTAAGTACATTTCATCCCAAATATCCCTTTTTCCCTTCTTTCTTTCTTTCTTTCTTTCTTTCTTTCTTCTTCTTCTTGTCTGAAGTGTTCCATTGATTTTTCTTTATAAGATTCCAAAGTGATTTCATTTATTCTCAAGGTTTACATCAATTCAAAGAGAACAGTGATAGCAGTTTATACTATGAAATTCCAAATTTGTTTGTCCAGGTAACACTGCTTATTGCAATCATTTGGTACTAAAAGAACAATAGCAAAGTAAATTCTTGCACAGAGAACTCTCAAAGGATAAAAATAACAACCATTTTTTCACAACTTAAAAATGCCCTTATTTGCTTCCCAAAAAAAAAAAAAAAAAGAATGGCTTTTGTGTTCAGAAATGCTAGAAATTGTCCAACATTTCTTCTCCTCTCACTTTCTTTCTCCTTTTTTATTTTTACCCAACAACCAATCAGAGAAAAAGAGGGAAAATGTACCAGAAAGAGAGAGTTCGTGGGAAACCAATAGAACGAGCTTGGACTTCATGAAATTAAGCGGATTCGCGAAGCTTCCAACTTGAATTTGATGAGTATTGTCAGTATTGGCTTCGTAATTACGAGTGTTGCAAGAAGAAGAATCTGAAGAAAATCTGATGAAGAAGACGATGGCGGTGGAGAGAGAGAACAATATTAGAAACATCAGAGGCCATCTCTTCTGGAATGGGATCGACACCGTCGAATGTTTCCCCATTTTCTTCTTCCTATATTGTCTATGATCTATACGTACATAGTTTTGAACTATTTATGTATTTTGAAGCAACAGATTGAGAATACTGTGCGAGCTCTACCGTGAAGGAAAGTGGAGTCCAAGGTCACCGGCTAGATCCAATTAATTCATCACGGAATGAATTTGTTCGGTGTTAAAAGAAAAGTTAGGATGATGAAATTTTTTTAATGAAAATGATACTGAAAAATTTATGATTTTAAAATTATCTTGATTAGTATGTAGTATTTTATTTTAAGTGTAATTTAAGGATTACAAAATTTTATAATTATTTTTATGAAAATTTTTTCATAATATCTACAACTGCTATAATAAAAAGCATCTTAAACTATTTTAAATTGGAAAAATAAGAATAGTGTTATATCCATTAATTGGTATATTAATTAATAATGTAGTATAATTTAAGACTTTTTGACATTTGTAATGTAATTAATGAGATGAGTCAATAATAATGTCATAAATAGTATTGGTACATTAGTTAGTAGTAATTGATGCATGTAGCACTACCGAAACAACAATGATACATCCCTTTAAAATTAAAATTTTAATTGAGTTTTAGTGAGATAAAAAATTTAAAAAAAAAATGACCAAAACACCATATTAGATGAATCTTACATATACATTAAAGTTATTAGAGCTCATAAATTAGAATTCCAAAATATTTTTCTTGGGAAAATTATTAAGTAATCAGTTGAATGTTGAAAAAATAATAATAATAATAATAATTATTATTAAAATTATAATTTTTTTTTATGTATATGTAATTATTTTTTTAAAATTAACTTGATTTCTAATTTTTCTTTCTAAATTTAAATAATTTTTTTTTAATTTAACATCAATTACTCTAGTCTTTTGTCAATTTTTTATTAAACTTTTTTTAAAAATTTCCATTAATTTTAAATTTGTCTTTTTTATCAAATTTGATTAAACAAAAATAGGGATAATTATAAAATAAAAAAAATAAACTCCAAAATTTGAGTCTTACTTTAAATTTTTTATTTTCATGACATCTAACGTTGCCCGGGGCGGGCCCTACCCGTGACAATGTGAATATTCACATTGACATATTAACATTCACATTGATAGGAATGTAAAATTAGCCCGCGGCCCAAAGACGACAGCCTTGGGTCGGGCCGGTGGGCTTAAGCCTAGGCTCGAGCTTAGGCCAGGCTTGGGCAGGCCTAGACATTTTTTTTTAATTCTTTTTAATTTTTTCTACCAAAATTTTATTATTTTTCACAAAAAAAAAGACATTGTGCCTCAGGCGGGCTGGGCCTCGGACCGAGCCTTGAATGAGCCTTAAACGGGCCGATGGACTGGACCGGGCTTCGAAGTGATGGTCTAGGCCCTAGCCTAGAGTCTCGGATATGCTCGGGCCCGGACCCAAACGAGCCTGCCCCGGGCCGTGGGCGGGCTTCAAGCAACTCACGGGCGCACGGGCCAATTCTACATTCCTATCAATGTGCATGTTAACATGTCAATGTGAATATTCACATTGTCAACGGGCCGGGCCGGGCCTACCCTGGGCCGCAGGCGAGTTTCGGGCAGCGGGCAAATTTTACACTCCTATCAATGTCAATGTTAACATGTCAATGTGAATATTCACATTATCACGGGTCGGACCAAGCCCGCCTCGCACTACGGTCGGGCTTCGGGCCGCCCACGGGCTGCGGCCCAATTTTACACTCGTATCAATATGAATGTTAACATGTCAATGAGAATATTCACATTGTCAATGGGCCGGGCCGAGCCGCCCTAGGCTACGGGCGGGCTTTTGGCCGCCCATGGGCCGCGGGCCAATTTTATACTCTTATCAATGTAAATGTAAACATGTCAATGTGAATATTCACATTGTCAACAGGTCGGGCCGGGCCCGCCCCGAGCCGCCCACGGGTTATGGGAGGGTTTCGGGCAGCCACGAGGCACGGGCCAATTTTATACTCTTATCAATGTAAATGTTAATATGTCAATGCGAATATTCACATTGTCAACAGGCCGGGCCGGGCCCGCCCCGGGCTGCCTACGGGCCGTAGGCGGGTTTTGGGCAGCCACGAGGCGCTGGCCAATTTTATACTCTTATCAATGTGAATATTAACATGTCAATGTGAATATTCACATTGTCAACAGGTCGGGCCCGCCCCGGGCCGCCCACGGGCCGTGGGCGGGTTTCGGGCAGCCACGAGGCGCGGGCTAATTTTACACTCCTATCAATGTGAATGTTAACATGTTAATGTGAATATTTACATTGTCAACGGGTCGGGCCGCGAGCGGGCTTTTGGCCGCCCATAGGGCGCGGACCAATTTGATATTCTTATCAATGTGAATGTTAATATGTCAACGTGAATATTCATTTTGTCAACGGTCCGGACCGGGCCTGCCCCGGGCCGCGGGCGGGTTTCGCGCCGCTACGGGACGCGGGCCAATTTTACACTCCTATTAATGTGAATGTTAACATGTCAATGTGAATATTCACATTGTCAACGGACCGGGCCCGCCCCGGCTCGCAGACGGGTTTCGGGCCGCCCACGGGCCAATTTTACATTCCTACCAATGTGAATTTTAAAATATGAATGTTCACATCATAAAATTGCTAACCGTTCAAAAAATATTTGTAAGTGTATCAAAATTAAATGTAAAGGCATAAGTGTCTAAGAAAATAGTGTAAATCAAGAAAAAGGACTTTATGGAATAAAACTATACATACATGGGATTAAATGGGTTAAAAAATTCCTTCATGTACTTTTTTGGTTAAAACAGTTCTAAATGGGATTTATCAATAATTTTCCCTTTTTTTTTAATGTATATGTAATTATTTTTTTAAAATTAACTTGATTTCTAATTTTTCTTTCTAAATTTAAATATTTTTTTTTTATAATTTAACATCAATTACTCTAGTCTTTTGTCAATTTTTTATTAAACTTTTTTTAAAAATTTCCATTAATTTTAAATTTGTCTTTTTATCAAATTTGATAAAACAAAAATAGGGATAATTATAAAACAAAAAAAATAAACTCCAAAATTTGAGTCTTACTTTAAATTTTTTATTTTGGTTTTGTTTGAGATGTGAGTTAGTTTTTTGATTTTTTTAACCTGAGGCTAAAAATCCTCGTTTGAGATGATTTTTTTGATTTTTTTGAAAGAAAAAAAGTGAAATGATTATAATTTAGATGTGATATTTTATGTTATTGAATTTTTAATTTATTTTATCTTTTTGTAGCTATTTAGCCTAGAACTTACATGCCAAACAAGGGCTTTGTTAACTTAAACCTTAATGTTTTTGTGACACCCCGTATTTTTGAAGTATTAATATTTAGTGAGTAATATTGGTGGTTTATTATGATAATTTAGTAATGAGATTTTTAGCTAAGAATCAAAATTTTAAATTATTTATTTGTATTTATCTCACCTCTTTTATATCTATCATATTGTTATTTAATAAATCAATTTACCATTCCCCATCATGTGAGAAGAAGAAGAGAAAAAAAAAAAAATACAAACAAGACAAAACCGTGGGCTGTTAACCCACTGACTTGCCACACCAATACCACCATCCATCATTTGAACTTTACATTTCTTTTAATTTTTTTATTCTTCTTTCATTCCTTTATCCCTCTATAAATCAGCTCAGACTGAGGGTAGCTCCTCACATTCATCTCTTAGTTCGGTTCTTCCCCTCTCATAAATCTCTCATAAATTGCGTAGAGTAGAAATATTAAATTTAGATATTGGAGTGTTTGGAGTGAAAATGAGTATTTTATAAAATAAATAAATAAAGTGAGAGTTGTAGATTTTATTAAATTATACATACTTTATGTTTTAGAAGTTTGATCAAAGTTATTTTTAGAGATCCATGGAGCAATTTCAGATTTATGGTGACGAAGTCAATTATTATGAGGTAAATTCAGGTTGTATACAATATACTCTATTTAAATCTCTTTGCAAGGAGTTCTCTTATTTTAAATTATTCTCAATTTGTAATCTACTTGATTAATGTGGTTATTAATATATTTCGTAAAATCATTTGTTGCTGAATCGTTGATATTCTGATCATTTGGTAAAATTCTCTACAAATATTCTGGGTTAAATGGTGATTTATCTGACCGAATGACATAGAAATACTCCGTACATGGATCGAGTGAATCTTATTAATTGTTTACACCAATATGCCCGGATAAGCATGGAGCTTGGGTGAGGTGGGTGAATAAATGAATTTATTCACTGGTCATGTACTGAGTAGGACTAGTTATTTGGTCTAGATAAATTATGGTTGCTTTGTTGTGCAATTTGGTAAATTGCTTGATTATCATATCGTTGATTTTGTGTCATAAATTATTGGGTTCTTGTTAATCTATTCTGTATCCGAGTCTTGTATTCCTGTCATATTGTATACTTCCCGAATTAATTTATTTTTCAGGTGCGAAGCAGATTTTAGCAGAGCTCGAAATTGAGATTAGAAAGATTTATTAATACATAGATTTGGGATCCACCACTTTAATTATTAAATAGGGAGATAGTTGTAATATTATTTATTTTGGAGGTAATTAGAATATTTGGAGGATATTGTACCATTTGGAGACAATTTCGTAATTATTATTTTTAGGAGCAAAACTTTTATTTTTTTGAGGCTATTTTAGTGTATTTAACGACCCGAAAGTGGGGCGCTATAGTTTTTATCTAATTCATTTGCTTATTTTCGCTAAGTAAAATAATTAAAAAATAATATTTTAGATATTTTAGAGTTTGAGATTATGGTTAGACACATAAGACTAGATCGAACAAATTTACTCAATCATAATATAGGCTTGGGAATAGTGTTTCAAGCTTAGCTTAGTAAAATAATTATAAGTTAGATGTAATATTTTGTCTTATTAACTATTTTAGTCTATTTTATCTTTTGGTGAGCTATTTTAACCCAACCTTCTTTCCAAATAAGGCCTTATACAATATATTTTTATAAATATACATATTGCATGTATATTTTGCATTGTTTAATTATATATTTTTTTAAGTATAAATTATGTATTAGTTATGTAAATAATTAGTTATAAAATTTGAACTACTAATCTTTAATTAAAGAGGCACAAAATCAATTAAATTAATTATAGTTTTTTATTTTACAATATGAAAATGAAATGTATATGAATAATATTCAGGCCAAGTGATCGGATTAGAAATTTTTTATTTTGTTTTTAAATGAATTTAAGAATAAAATATATGTCTAATAACAGCCGAACTCAAAAGATAATTTAAATATTATTATGTAGTATAACCCTAACTCGAATCAGGCCGTCAAAGTCTAACCCATATACACCGCTATCCAAAAAAGGGCAATGCTAAGTGGGTGGAACGCACTGTTACATCACTAGTGGTACCTCTAATTAGATGTCCCAAGCATTTTTCATCCAAAAAAATAGTGTTACATTTGATGTTGTGTACAAGGCAAAGCACACACCCCACCATTTGATTAACAAAAATGTTTTGTAACTTGAAAAAGATGAGCTCGAATGGTTCGAATATTTTGCCAGCTATCTCTTTTTTTCAAATATTTAACTGATTTTCTCTCTCCTCTGTATCTCTCCTTCTTCGACTCCAAAAGCATTCACGGAAATCATCTCTTGAAAATCCTCTGCTCCTAGATCCCTCTCATCTTTGTTAAATATTCCAAAAATAAAAAAAAAACAAACAAACAAACAGAGGAACAGAACACAACACAACACAACACAACGCACCAATCAAAAGAAGAAGAAGAAAAAAATAGAGCAAAATAGAAGAATGGTAAATCCAATTACCACACACGAACAATGAGACAAATTCACAATATCGAAATAAGGGAAGATCATAATATCATGAAATGAATGCAACACAACTAGCTGTTTAACAAAAGCATTGGAACTTAGAGAAAAGTTATCTGGATAGTTGCCCAGATAGTGACCACAACAGGAACCCAATTGGAGAAAGAGAAAACCCATTTCTCAATAACCCAAACAACTAATATCAGAGGAAGTATGAAAAATAGAAGAGGCTTTTCCACCAATAATTGGGTCGAAACCTCTACACCTTTATTCACAGAAGAAACTATTTTCTTTCTTTTGCTCATTTTTGAAACAAGATTTCAACTGAACAAACCTCACTGACGTCACTTCTTCATATAAAACTAAAAACCCAGTTCTTAATTTAGAGATTATGAAGATCAAAACAAAACCCAGAACTTGATTTCCCTGAAAAAGAGAAAAAAAAAGTTTTCTTTTTGGAGAACACCGGCCTTCATTAATAAAAGGATTCAAATTCCTTTAACATAAAGATTGATTAAAATTCCTTCATTATTATTTCTGTCGTGGAAATTCTTTATAGTGAGTTTAAAATTTAGGATCTTTGTAAATATTAATTATCCCAGATTATTACTCCACCATTTCAACACAAGCAAATCATCGAACACCTTCTGAGCATAAAATCAAAGGACCTATATTCCAACATTTCATAGGCATATATACATATACATATACATATTACAGAAGAGGGTAAAGGAGTTGAAGAGAAAAATAGACCCATGCAAAGAGTTGAAGACAAACATAGAGTAGTTGATGGCGATTGACAGACGGCGATCGGCGATCCACGGATAGGGAACGACAAAGGGAGATTTTCGGTGGTCATCGGTAGTCAACCAAGTCGATGGTCAGCAGTAGCACCCAGGTCGGCCAGCGAAAGTTGCTCGCAACAGTTTCGTCGTCCTCTCTCTCTACTCTCTCCTTTCTTTTTTTCTTTTTTTTGGAAATCAAGCGCGTGGGTTTCACGCAGCTATGGGCAATTGGATGAAATACAAGAGGAAGCCTTCCCAGCTCATTTGGCCATTCGAGCTCTTCTTTTTCAGTTACGTAGTTTGATTAAACATTGGAGGATGATTTGATAATAAAATTTTTACATGTTCTCTGTTCTTGGCAAGTAAAAAGCAATTATATTTTTGTGGGTCTGATGATTCATTCAATGGTGTTAAACCAGTAAATCTTTGGAAATTCGTATCACTGAGTCCAAACAATTGATCTATGCCAAGAAACAAAAGACAATTAACTAATTTAAAATGTACTTATTCAGGATTAGGATTTGCAATAACTAAGGGTTGATTTGGGATATTATAAAAAAGTATACTTTTTGACTTATTGGTTTATATGGGTTGAGTTTGATGTGATGTGTTAGACAGGTGATGTGATTTAAATAAGATGATGTGACTTAAATAGGATAGTGACTTTTTGACTTTTTGTATTATTTAGTTTATTCCAAACCAACTCTAATTTTAACTAATACTTTTTCATACTAGCTTTGGGGTTATTTGGAGTGTATGAAAAAATGTGTATTAAAATATTATATAAATAGGTGTGTAGGAGTAGATAATTAATTAATCCGTACGGCTAAGCAGTGCCTCGCCGAAAAGGATATGGAAAAAGATTGCTTACTTTTTGGCCTTTGATTGGATGGTATTGTTCGGTCAGTGGGGGCCCACCACGGGTCCCATTTTTCTAATCGGAACCGTTCAATGTATATAACTCATCAAGTATTATATTCTTGTAAAAAATTACGTTCATTGGATATCGATAGCTATCTAATCGTATTAGTTTTTTTGTCAAATGTTAACTATAACACCATCTATTTTTTATACAAAATTGATTTGATCATGTAGTTAGCAATATCCGAATGACGTAATTTTTACGTATGTATAGTACTCGATGAGTTCTACACATTGAACGGTTCCGATTAAAAAAAACAAGACCCGTGGTGGGCCCTCACGAGCCCAACTTTATCATCCAATTTAATGAATATACACATGTAATATTTTTTTTCCCCTTTCACTCCTATGCTTTCACATAGGCTGCCGTGAAGTTGACTGGTATTTAATATTATGTATATTAATTTTTTAATATTTTTTTTTAGTGAATAGTGATAACTTTTTAATTTTTTTAGTAATTTTTTAACTTTTTTAATAACTTTTTGACTTTTTAACTTTTTTTTTTTTTTTTTTTTTTTTTTTTTTTTTGAGTTGCCAAACCAACCCAAACTATCATTAACCATTAAATTAAGATCAAAATTCATCTGCCAGTAGAATGGTCTTAGATATACAATTATTCAGGTTTTTCTATATTTCACATAATTGATAGAATTTGGCATTTGGTGGGCATGATTACTTAACTAGGTTTGTTGTTGGTGGGGCTGAAACAATACTAAACTTTTTAATAATTATCAAACGCATCAAACTTTTTAAAATTTAAATAAAAAAAAAAAAATTTAAACACGAGAGTTGCACTCGTTGCAAGACTTAACCTAACTCCTTGTGACACGAGCTGATGGCAGTCATGCAACACCTGTATCCGTGTTTCCAAAGGCACCCCACTTTCAAGAGGATTCGAGGTATGCCAAGCCCTTCCTGTCCAGGGTAGAGCCTTAGAATTTGACGGAGGACTTAAAAAGTCACCTACAAATGCTTATATGTGTCTATTATTTAGGTAGAATGCAGCTTCATCCATTTTTACTAAGAAACTAAAAACTAAGGAACGAGTTATTTATAGGTGCCTCATCATTCTCAACATGTATGTTTCCTTTGCTGATCCGGTCTCAAATAGTTGGTGCCATATGCCCCCCCCCCCAGCGGCAATTCACAAGTAGTCATTTGTATTGCACCATCTCGGTTTAGGCAGAAAAGCCCCCAGAGGTCCTCGGTAACACGACATAATAAAGACTCTATTCTTAATTGAAATTTTTATTTATTTTATTTGTCCAACCACCAATTCACAAGTAGTCATTTGTATTGTACCATCTCGGTTTAGGCAGAAAAGCCCCCAGAGGTCCTCGGTAACACGACATAATAAAGACTCTTTATTCTTAATTGAAATTTATTTATTTTATTTGTCCAACCACCTAAGGCATAGCATCCTAATACAAAAGTTAAAGTTTCCATATTCAGAGACAACAAAGATAATGCAAGAATAAGAGATTACTAACACAAAGCACTTCCAGATTTCTAATTCATTCACAGCACAAGTAACATGCTTACAAAAGCTAACTTCTAAGAACACACAGACAATCTCATAATAGCCATATCATCTTGCATATTAACAAGACAGATGATTAGTTTCATCAGTTAATTCTGCGACAATTCTTCCTAATTTCGCCTTTAGAAGCGGTTAGAGGGCTAATATTCCCCAATTTAACCATAGATCTAGCAAACTGGCGAAAAAAGAGACCCTCATCCATCGCATACGCCTTCACCAATTCCACAGTCTTACTGACTTTTCCAGTCAGAAGCACTTCATCAGAAGTCAGAAGCCCTTTCCCCCACAGTAGGAGCTTAAAGTACATGTTGTCGAATTTGGCAGGAGAGGTAAAATCAAGAGGAGAGAGGTTGCTATCGCCACCGGCTTTAGGACAAGATGTTTTTAAACCATTGTAATAAGTTTTCTCCAAAGTTGCATCGGGTTGGTTATTTCCATTTTGATTGTATAGTCTTTGTTTGAATGTCACACATCTTGCCACCCCTATGGTATGACCTCCTGCAAGAAAAACAATATTAAGCTAAATGCTAATTAGACCTTTTTGGGGTGAGCTAAATAAGCCAAAAGTTAAAAATTAAAAAAGCTATTAAAAAAATACTCTAACTTCTACACACAAAAAAGTCACATTTTTTTTTTTTTTGTAATTTTCCAAACACATCAACATTTTTTTTTTTTTTTTTAAAATGGACAAAAAGCCACTAAAAATTTGTGAAACATTTGTAATGCAGAAAATTGATTCTAATCTCACCGGATAGTGCAACGAGGTCTTCTTCATTGAGGCCTTGGAGCTTGAAGAGTGTTACGAGGTTTTGGATTGTGGAGTTCGGTGCAGGAATGTTACTGTTTGAGCCACTCAGACTGGCGGTTCTAGAATCCCTCCTTCCTAGTGGTAGTTCCCAACTCGGACCACCACTCTGCTCCACCATAACCACCATTAGTAAGAAGAAAAAAACTTCTCCACTTCCGAGGGCATATTTAGTTATAAAAACGATACTCATCTCCATTGTTCTTTTGTTTTAGTTATTAGGAGAGAGGTTGCTATCGCCACCGGCTTTAGGACAAGATGTTTTTAAACCATTGTAATAAGTTTTCTCCAAAGTTGCATCGGGTTGGTTATTTCCATTTTGATTGTATAGTCTTTGTTTGAATGTCACACATCTTGCCACCCCTATGGTATGACCTCCTGCAAGAAAAACAATATTAAGCTAAATGCTAATTAGACTTTTTTGGGGTGAGCTAAATAAGCCAAAAAGTTAAAAACTAAAAAAGCTATTAAAAAAATACTCTAACTTCTACACACAAAAAAGTCACATTTTTTTTTTTTTTGTAATTTTCCAAACACATCAACATTTTTTTTTTTTTTTTTAAAATGGACAAAAAGCCACTAAAAATTTGTGAAACATTTGTAATGCAGAAAATTGATTCTAATCTCACCGGATAGTGCAACGAGGTCTTCTTCATTGAGGCCTTGGAGCTTGAAGAGTGTTACGAGGTTTTGGATTGTGGAGTTCGGTGCAGGAATGTTACTGTTTGAGCCACTCAGACTGGCGGTTCTAGAATCCCTCCTTCCTAGTGGTAGTTCCCAACTCGGACCACCACTCTGCTCCACCATAACCACCATTAGTAAAAAGAAAAAAACTTCTTCACTTCCGAGGGCATATTTACACTGTGTTTGGATTGAGTGATTTGGAGAGAAAAGAAAAGAAATAGAGAGAAATGTATTTCTCTTCCTTGTTTGGTTATCTTAAGTGGAGAGAAATGGGAAGAAATAGAGAGAAATGGAGAGAAACTCATTTCTCTCATAACCGTTATTTTCAATCTTCCCAAAAGTGGAGAGATTGAGAGAGAAAAGAAATCCACAAATGTTTATATTTTCATAATACCAATTTTACCCCTACAAAAATAAAAGAAATAAAATGATTGAAAATATAAAAAGGTTATTTTGGTAATATAACATAAAATAATTTCTTTTCTTTTCTCTTAATGAAATCTAACCAAACAAGAAGGAGAGAAATCACAATCATTTCTTTTCTTTTATTTCTTACTTATCCAAACAAAAAGGAGAGAAATTACAATCATTTCTTTTCTTTTCTTTTCTCTTATTACTTAAGTAATCATTTCTTTTCTTTTCTCTCCTAAGTTACCAAACATAGCGTTAGTTACAAAAGCGACACTCATCTCCATTGTTCTTTTGTTTTAGTTAGGCCTAGTTTGGGAAGATTGAAAAAAGATAAAAAGTCAAAAAGTCACTATCCTATTTAAGTTATATCATCTTATTCAAGTCACATCACCTCTCTAATAGATCACTTCAAACCCAACCCAAACCCAACCCATATTTCATAAAAAGTCAAAAAATACACTTATTTAGTCTTCCCAAACTAGGCCTTATTCTACACAAAACCAACATGTGGCCATATAAATCAAACGGTGGGCTCCATCATTTGATGTATACGACCATATGTTTTGTTGTATTCCATTTTATATCTTTAGAATAACTTCTTCCTTCACAATGAAATGGAGCATGCATAAAAATGTGCGAGATTGACATTCATCTCCGATATTACCTAAGAAATCTGTTTATGTACAATACGAAGTTTAAGGCTTCAGAGTTGCTTACTAGTATGGTGGAACCTCGAGCAGAAAGGGCAAGAATGTCAGCACAAGAGACTGTTTGAGGACACGCTTGTTCGAGCTTGGCCTTGATCTCATCAATCACTTCGAATCCTCTAATGGAATTGTTGTTTGGTCCTGACCGCTTTTCGCTCACCATTTTCGTAGTATCATCCAACAAAATCGATGCATCACAGCCCTATAAAGAATGCAGACTTGTAAAGCCCATCCACTTCAGTAACACCACACAAAATTGTAAAATCATGACTCATAACACAACTATATGACAATGGCAGTAGACAAAATGGATATATATACTTTGATGCCATCATAAAAGAAATGAATAGTCAAATTAAACCACAGTGGGTATAGGGCCAGGGATTTTTTGTTTCGAAATCTCTTCTCCCTGTCCTTGTCACAATTGACATCTAATCACATAATTATGTTCGGTTTGAAAATTTTCAAAATAGATGATCTCATGTTATGCCTATAGAGCATCTTGAGCATGAAAAGCACTTCAAAGATGAATTCTACTTCTTTTTTTATTTTATTTTATTTTATTTTAATAATGAGGTCGTATTCGGTAACAATTAAAAAATTTAAACTTTTTGTATTTAGTGAATTTTTAAAAAATTGTGTCAAACTTTTTAATTTTCAAGTCCTAAAAAAAAGATTTTTTTTTTTGACTTTTTTAATTTTTTTAGTAGACTTTTTGCAAAGAAAAAAAAAAATTCTTCTATGATTTTCTTTTTATCCTAAAAAAAAAATTTTTTTTTTGACTTTTTTAATTTTTTTAGTAGACTTTTTGCAAAGAAAAAAAAAATTCTTCTATGATTTTCTTTTTATTTGATTTTTAGGTCCTATTAGCCGAACCTTAAAAATAATAATAATAATAATAATAAAAACTAACAAAAATGCTACTAAAAACACAATTATCAAATGCACTCAAGAAGATATTTTAGACAGTGATATCATTATGAAATGAAGTTCTCAAAGAAAATATAGATGAGTATGGTGTTTCAACTATCGACAGATATGTATTGGGATTTTGAATTTTTAAATATATATTTATTGATATATCAGCTTATATTGTCTAATACCGGCGGATAACGATATATGTGTCATCCTACCGATATGTATCCCATACTATTATTTAAAACTATAGTCTAGATGATACAACATATTTGAGATTGTAACGTGAGGGTAGAACCTGGACAAAGCAGTCATGGAAGTGAAGCCTGAGCAAAGAGGCAGCCATTCTAGGCTCTTTAGCAATGGCCTCCTCCAAGACAGACATGACAATTTCATTAGCCTGAGGGCATGACAACTCATAGAACTCCGGGAAAAGCCCCGAATACCCTTCCCCAAAAAACCTGCCATTGCCCCAGCCGGATCCCGGGAAAGCTTGGGAGAGTGTGGAAGAAAAGAGAAAAGCCACCACAATGAGAGAACATAGAACTTTGTGAAAAGCCATTCACAACTTATGAAATTCTGGGACTGCTATGCTACTTAGTCTTGTGATGGACTTGCTCTATGTGAGTAGGCATATTTATAGAGAGAGTTCATGTGATCAAATCAACCACTCTGCCTACCAAATCCCCTCAGAAGACATAATAATGGAATATGTATAGTCATGACCATGTCCATTTGTAACCTCATACACCATTTTTAGAAATATGTGAGAGAAGAGAGCAGTTTTGACTCTTTTCTTGTTACACCTGCTCCATGAGAAAATCTGGTTGTGATATCCACTATGTATATCTATATTAGTATTCCATCCTCAACTAATTTACAAACCTTTGGATAAGAAAAAATGGTTTTAGTTTCTAATCCCAGTAGCTTAAAAATTTTATATCAACACCGACTGTGTTTTTTTGTCACACCTGCTCCATGAGCAAATGTGGTTGTGATATCCACTATATATATCTATATTACTATACCATCCTCAACTAATTTAAAAACTTGCGGATAAGAAAAAAAATAGTTTTAGTTTCTAAACCCAGTAGCTTAATTTTTTTTTTATCGATGCCGACTGTATCAATTGAAATATTATATCTAAATATTTTTATAATTTTATTTTTTGAGTATTTATTTAAAGATAAACATTTGTTAATAAAGATTTGGGAGAGAGTTATTTATAGAGAAACTTTCACATCTGTCATTAGTTTATTATTGATGTGGGATTTTACAGATTTTTAAAAAAATATCAAATGTTGTGTTTGGATCATAAATTTCAATAGAAATTTAAAAAAAAAGAAAAAAAAAGAGAAAAATGTGAGAGAATTAGATTTATATTTCATTCACATTTTCTTTTCATTTTTAAATCTCTATTAAATTCATGATCTTAAAACTTCCCATTAATTATTTATATACACTAAAGTGAAAACTTGACCAAATTGAACTGTAGCATATGATAAATTTCAGCTCCTCAGCTAACAAAATTGAAGATTTTGATTGGGTACTAACTCAAACCTCTTACACCTACTCTCAGTCTAATAACTTGAGCTGGAATTTAAGCGGGACTGACATATTCATTTTGAGTGGGTCCGAGTGCTGACGTGTTCGTTTTCGTGCGGTAAACAAGAATATATAATCGATTTTTCAAAATCATTTACAGGTAAATAAGAATTTAGTATCAAAGTGAGTTTTATGAACATGGTATTTGTTTAGGTTGCTTTTGGTAATACTTAAGTTTTTAATTTTTTATTTATATTTATAAAAATTTAAAAAATTTAAATAAAAATTTATTTGATAAATTTTTGATTTATAAATCAATGGTCTCAATTTAATAAATTGGGAAATTACATATACACCCCATCGAGGTTTGGCTAATTACAGATGCCCCCCCCTGAGGTTTGAGAAATTACGAATTCCCCCTGAATGCTATAGTTCTGCATAAGAAATTAGGGGGTAGATATTGTTATGAAATATAAACCTCAGGGGGCAGAATTGCGTTATGAAAATCAAACCGTCAGGAGCGGGATGTAATTTTCGAAACCACAGGGGGAATCTGTAATCTTAGCCAAAACCTCGAGGGGATGTATATGTGAATCTTGCCCTTATAAAAATTGTGACTAAAAAATGTACACCTCAAAAAATGTGGTTCCGTTTTGAGTTTTGAGTTTTTTTTTTTTTCACCACCCAACACCTAGCGCACCACTCGCCACATTTTCCACCCCACCGGTCTTCCCGCCACCAGCGGCACCTACACCATCCCCACACCACGCTGCACCCACTACTACTCATCACCTCACCTGCCACCCGACACATCGCCGCCAACCGACCCACCACCTCTGACCATCCACCCATCACACTCACCACACCACCACCACACCACAACCCAACTTGCCATCCACGCGCCACCCTTGCCACTAACCATCTCACTAACCGCCGGTCCCGCGGTAGCCCACGCACCTCGCTCAGCCCACCAGCCCCCACCATACCCACCACCCGCTGCCACCACTACACCACCACGCGATCATGCAGTAGCATGTGGCCCACCACCACCGGTGTAGTTTCGCACCTGCTACCGGACACCAGTCTATCGCCCGAACCGGACCCGACGTGCATGCACCCCCACTACCGGACTCACCACCAACACACACCTCACCAGCCCACTATACCCCACCCACCACGCGCCCCTACCGATCCCCGCTCGCTTAACCACTATTCACACCGTCACTGCAACCCACCCAAGCCCATTGCACCCTCGCTACCGGTACCTGCCCACCACCACTCAGCGTTCACCCGTCACTTACCCCGTCATCCGCCATCACATCCTGCACCAGCCACCCACCACTACTACCAACCACCACCACTCGCTGCTACCACCCCACCATCCACTGCTGTCACCTCACCCACCACCCGCACCACCACTACCACTACACCACTCGTTTACTACGCCACCACCCGCCCACCGTTACCTATCACCCACCATCCCACGCACCTGACCCGCTAACCCACCACCCACTGTCACCAACTTTCCAGACCACCCGTCTCCACTTTTCCACCACCGTCTTTCGCCGCCACTTGCCATTTCTCGCTCTTTTTTATATTTTTAAATTTTTTTAAACATTTTGTCAATTACCAAGTACGTTTGTAGCTTATGTTTTTCTAAACATAAACAAAAATCAATTTATCAAATTTTTATAAATATAAACTGAAAACGTAAACGTTACCAAACAGACTCTTAGTAACACAAGTTGGCATTTTACTTTTGTCGCATATAGAAAAGCTAGGTGGACTTTTACTCGTATATAAGTTTCAAGTTGGGCATTGAGGTCAGGTTTGATTGTTGCATTATTTTTTATGAGATTAGATAATAAGATTATGAGGGATGATAAATTATACCGTGAGATTATATGGAATAAAAAAATATGATATATGATAGGATTATGGATAAGATTATAGGGTGTGATAATAGTGGGGATAAATGATTAAATAGAATGAATGAGAGTTGTTATATTTTGATAGAATGAAATAAAATTATGTAATTATTTTTAACCGTTAGATAAAGAAAAAAAATAAAATTGGAAGGGCCTCATTTATCACTATAATATTATTTAATCTCCAATTTCCCTTAACTTAATCGTCCCTACCAATACTAAAATTATCCGGACCCTGGCAAACAAACACTAAATTGAATTATTTAATAATACCCATATGTTCCCCACTGTCATTTTTTATTTTATTTTTTTATTAATATTATCTCGCAATCAAATATCACACTAATAATCCGATGAGCCTCACATCCTCTATTTTTAATTCCAACCAAACATGTCTTTACTTTTGGACCAAAAAAGTCCTCATGTTTTATGAGGGGAGGCTGTTACGGCGTTTATAAAAACGCCAATTTTGATAGGTGTGGTCTAAGGAAGAGATTCAACGATGTTGTTTTGAGGTTGAATTGCTAGACGAGAACACGATGGATGGCTTTGCTTATTTTCCAGTTCTCTCTTCTTCGTCTACATCTCAGCACAAACTTGCATAAAGTTAATGAGTTTCGATTTCTTTCTCTTTCTCTGTACTCATGAAAATGGGTCTTCTGAGAAATTGAATTAGTGTATGTTAATGTTAATGTTTTTGACTTTTTTTTTGTAGTTTGGTTGTAAATATAGTTCGGTTATATCCTTTTATTTCTGTTCTTGCATTGTTCATGACATTGCTTTTGTTGTTCTTGATTTTCAAATTATTATCTAGTCCTTCCTTTCCACGACCAGAAAATTACCACAAACAATTAGATTGCAGAACTTAATGTGAGAATCACATATGTTTTCTGTAAATTGTAATAAATTCCATTTGAGTGCAGACTTACTTTAGTGTTATTAATTAAATAGTTGAGATTTGGTAGGGGTGAATTTTAGACCCCTTAACTATTAGTGAAAATCACTTACACCTTATCTATGAATTCGCACATTTTGACCCTTTCAATTATAAAAATGTATCACTTTCACCCTTGTTGATCCCTTTTAGATTCCCCCCAAAAGGGATGTGTTTATACAATTTTCATAGTTGAAGAGATCAATCTATACGAGTTCATAGATTAAGGAGTAAAGTAATATTCACTAATAATTGAGGAGGTCTTAGTGTAATTTATCGTCCATGGGTCGACTGTGTGTATTGAGGGTTGCGATTGGTCTATGGGCGAGTCAAATTTATGCAGTTGTTGGCTATATCATATATGTCATTATGTTCACTTTATTTAACTATGCTCAAGTATCGATTTGAAATGATGAGTTTTATTCAAAGTATTCTTCACTGTAGATGCAGTATCAAGTATCGACCTTAAACCCGAGCTTGTAATTTATGGACCATGTGGAATTTGTAATATTGTTTGGGAGTTTGATGTAGTCACTTCGTCACTGTAATCAAAATATTTTGCATAGTATTTTAAATTTGTAGGAATTTGAGTATGGAGTTGGATTTGAGTAAATCCAAACCCACTGCTCAGCAAGACTTGTCGTCTTGCAGATTTGATTTAATTGTTTGATGGATGTTAAATGCCTTAAGTTCATGCAAAGAACTTGTTCAGTTATCTCTCACATTTTCTTTGCTGATGATGCTATTCTTTTCCTCCAGGCCAATCAAAATGAATGCCAAAACATTATGGCCACCTTGACAATGTACAGTGAAGCTTCTGGACAACTTACTAATTTTGACAAATCCGGAGTGATGTTCTCATCCAATGCATCTGCAACACTCCATAGCTCCATCTGCTCTTCTTTGGGTGTTTCACAAGCCAACCTTAAAGCTAAATATCTGGGCCTACCTTCTTCATGGGGCAGATCTAAAGCTGAAACTTTTGGGTCCATGATTGAAAAAGTGTTGAGCAAAATGCAAAGGGTGAAAATCTAAGCTTTTATCTCAGGCCGGTAAGGAAACTCTTATCAAAGCTGTCGTTCAGGCTTTGCCATCCTATGCCATGTCATGTTTTGAAATGCCACATGCCACCCTCTTTCTGTTCTAAGCTAAATTCTCTTGTTCGAAACTATCGGTGGGAAGGGGATCCGGATAACAAGGGCATTCCTTGGGCAAGTTGGGATCAAATGACAATTCCCAAACATCAAGGAGGTATGGGCTTCAGAGATTTCAAAGCTTTTAATCAAGCCTTACTTGCTAAGCAAGGTTGGCGTCTCCTTATGAATCCTAATTCTTTCTGGGCCGTGTGTATAAAGGCCTCTACTTTCCAAATTCCAATTTCTTGTAAGCGGTAAGTGAACATCCCAGGCATGGTCAAGCCTCCTCAAAGGTAGGGAACTACTCCGAAATGGGCTCCGATGGCAAATCCAAAGCGGCAACCTTGCCTACTTTTGGGAGGACAAGTGGGTACCCTCTACTAAAGACTTCAAAATTGCTTCCCATAAACCTCCTTACTGTACTGTTCAAAAAGTCGCTGAAGTTATTGATCCCACTCATAAAATATGGAAGTGTGAAATTCTCAAAGAGTGGCTTTTGAAAGAAGATTTAGAGGCTGTTCTTGCCATCCCAATTGCAGCAGTTAATAGAGATGATCTTTTAATATGGCACCACACTCCATCGGGAGTTTATTCAGTCAAGTCGGGCTATGCCTTAGCCAAGCAGATCTGCCACAACTCCAATGGTTCTAATAAGCCCTCCGGATCTCTCATCCTTGGCACTGATTTTTGGAATTCAATTTGGGATCTAGATGTTCCACCCAAAATCCGACACTTTTGGTGGAGAGTCTTCCGTAACTTGTTGGCAACAAAGCTGGGTCTGTTTAGGCACAAGTGTGCATCTTTTGGTGAATGTCCTATCTGCAGGAAAGGTGATGAATCTGTGGAGCATCTCCTGTTTGATTGTCCCTGGACCAAAGGTGTTTGGTTCGGTAGCTCCTTAAATATGCGAGTAGATCCAGGCTCGATTACAAATGTGACCAGGTGGACCAATGACCTTTTGCAGGGAGGTAATCCAAAGACTGAATCCAAACGCATAATCAGTTTACTTGCTACTGTTGCCTGGTTCATATGGAAATCTAGAAATGATTTTATCTTTAATCATCAAGTGGTGGACCCTCATGATACACTGCAAAAGATCACTCTTTTCTAGAAGGAACAAGATGCTCTGATTGGCCCTTTCCACTTTCTCAATCAGGCCTCAGCCGTCCCCAACCATAATCCTCGATTCGGTTGGCAGCCAGCTGCCCACAGTATAGTCAAATTTAACTGTGATGCAGCTTTTTGTAAGATTTCTTCATCAGCTGTTTTGGCTGTAATTCTTAGAGACTCAAAGGGAAACCTTCTGGATGGTTGTGCTAAGTCTTGTGAGGCTTCGTCTGCAGCACAAGCCAAGGCACATGCAATTCGTCTAGCGTATCTTATGGCTCAAGCTCTCAACCTCTCGCGAGTGGAAATCGAAAGTGACAACAAATCGGTGATCTCTCTTTGCATTTTCGAAACAGTTCCACCATGGGAGTATAGTGCTATTATCCTAGATATTCGAGGGCTTGCTTCTCCAAACTCTATTTCTTTTTCCTGGACAAGAAGAACCAACAATGAAGCAGCACATTGGGTTGCAAAGGCTTGTCTTTCTAAGTCCTTACCTGTAAATTGGGTTGTATGCCCACCTGCTACTCGTCTCCATACTCATTTTTGATGTATCCCATTTTCCTCTTTAATTGAAAGTTTGGAAGTTCAAAATAATTATAATAATAACTGGGGTAGTGTCTCATTTGGAAATTCATGAAACGTGGAATTTAAAACTTTGAATTGCAAATCTAAATCCAAGTATATATGAAGTTTATTTATCTCTACGGTCTTTGATGTTTTTGGTAAAATGGTAGGATTGAGACTAAAGGCACCAAAATCCCAGATAGCATTGATGGTTCATTGCTATTAGAAAATACACGAAAACTTAATCTAAAATTAATCAGTGTATTTGGTTTTAGTTTTTTGAATTCAGTTTTCTGAAAATTGAGTATTTTGTTTTTCATATATATATTTTTTGTTTTTAGTGAATATTTTTAAAATTTTAAGCAACTTTTTTACTTTCTTAGATGCATCTTAGTGAGATGTATCTAAATAACAAAATTTTTGTAAAAACATATTTTGCAAAATTAATAAATACAGAAAAATACAAAAAATGTACTGAATTCTCATATATATATATTTTTTATATTTTTGGTATTTAGTGAATTTTTTAAAGATTTGTTTTACAAATATTATACTTTTTAAGCGTATTTATGTTAGGTGTGCCTAAAAATTAAAAAAAAAATACTTAAAATATTAAAAAAATTCAGTGAAAACAAAAAAAAAAAAAAAATAAGAAAGTAAAATAGATGAAGAAGGAGAAGGAAATTAAAAGCACGTTTGTGGTTAAGCAAATCTTTTCTTCTTGTTCTTCTTCTTTGTTATTGATGATTGGGATGGAATTGAATTCTTCACTTTTGTTTTCTCTTTCCTGTGATAGAGCTGTGCCTTGCTAAGTTTTCCACACAGAGAGAGAGAGAGAGAGAGGAGAGGACAAGAATTTTCTATCTTTTGAAAAGACAGGAAACCTTATAATGATAATCTTAAATCTGTCCTTGCAAAAATCGGGTGGGGCTTGAAGCTAAATTGAAAAAAAATAAAATTAATAAATAATTTTTTTAAATAAACGAGACTTTTTTAACTGAACGAGTAGTGGCTTTCCATGCCATAAACTTCGGGGCTCTTTTTTTGAACATAATGCTGAATCTAATATTAATTTATTCATTTTAAGTTATTTGATGTTTGTATTTGCATGCAATGTAATGTCAATTGGTTTCGCATTTTAATTGAAATTTCTACCATTTTTTCTGATTATATACCATGCAATGATTTGGTAATTCCTTCACAATTTTTGATTTCATGATGCATATTGATATGGTTAGTAGAATTAAGTTGAAGAACAAGAGTCATCAAGACAACATATCGTAGTGACTCTACTTATCACTTTGTTTTGTTTAATTAGCTTGTCGTTTTCTTTTTCAGTGTTTTTGCTTGGGGTTGCACATAATTTTGCTTGTTTTGGGTGACACCAAAGCAACCCACCAGACCACCTGCTACGCGCACCCGCCGTCCGAAAGAGAAGCCACCCCGAAGCCCCACCCCGCGCGCCCACCAGCGCGCGCGCAAGAGGGAGGAAGAAGGGCACTTACCACCCACCAACTAACACACCATCACACCAACCCACCACCCCTACCACCACCAACCCGCCACCACCATCACCCGCTCGCTACCACCTCACCACCCGTCACCCACCACCACATCCACCCGCTACCTACCTGCCACTACCACTTCACCCGTCACACCCCGTCATCCGCCATCACCTGCCACCACGTCCACCCACCACTATACCACCACACCCCCGCGTACCCCCACCACCACTGCTGTCCACCACCACCCCCACCACTCCCACTACACCCACTCGTTCACCACCCCCAGACCGTTACCTTATCCAAACCACACCACCCGCTAACCCCACACCCACTGTCACCAACTTTCCACCACCCGTCGTCCACTTTCCACCACCGTCTTCTCGCGCCACTTACCATTTCTCACTTCTTTTTTATTTAAAATTTTTTTTTTAAACATTTGTCAATTATAAACGCGTTTGTAGTTTAATTGTTTTTTAAAAAAATAACACAAAAATTAATTTATAAAATTTTTGTAAATATAAACTGAAAACGTAAACGTTACCATTAGTCAGACAACTTGGTATTTTTACTTTTGCTCGCATATAGAAAAGCTAGGGTGGACATTTTGCCGTATAATAAGTTTCCAAGTTGGGCAATTGAGGTCAGGTTGATTGTTTGCATTATTTTTTATGGATTGGATACAATAAGATATGAGGGATGATAAAATTATACCGTGAGATTAATATGGAATAAAGAATACTGAATATATGATAGGATTATAGATAAGAATTATGGGTGTGAATAATAGTGGGGATAATGATTAAATAGAATGATGAGGGTATTATATTTTGTTAGAATGATAAATTATGTTAATATTTTAACCGTGGAGAAAGAAAAAAATAAAATTTGGAAGGGCCTCATTTATTCACTATAATATTATTTAATCTCCAAATTTCTCTTAACTTAATCGTCCTAACAATACTAAAATTATCCGGACCCTGGCAAACAAACACTAAATTGAATTAATTTAATAATACCCATATGTTCCCACTTGTCCATTTTTTATTTTAATTTTTTTATAATATTATCTCGCAAATCAATTATCACACTAAAATAATCCGAGACCCCTCACACACTCTAATTTTAATTCCAACCAAACATGTCTTTAACTTTTGGCCAAAAAGTCTCAATGTTTTATGAGGGGAGGCTGTACGGTGCGTTTATAAAAACGCCATTTTGATAGGTGGTGGTCTAAGGAAGAGATTCACGATGTTGTTTTGAAGGTTAATTGCTAGACGAGAACACGATGGATGGGCTTTGCTTTATTTCGAGTTCTCTTTCTTCGTTCTACATCGTCAGCACAAACTTTGCATAAAAGTTAATGAGTTTCGATTCTTTCTTCTTTTTCTCTGTACTCATGAAAATGGGTCTTCTGAGAAATTGAATTAGTGTATGTTAATGTTAATGTTTTTGACTTTTTTTTTTTTTGTAAGTTTTGGTTGTAAATATAGTTCGGACTATATCCTTTTATTTCTGTTCTTGCATTGTTCACATTGCTTTGTTGTTCTTGATTTTCAAAATTATTATCTAGTCCTTCCTTTCCACGAACCCAGAAAATTACCACAAACAATTAGATGCAGAACTTAATGTGAGAAATCACATATGTTTTCTGTAAATTGTAATAAATTCCATTTGAGGCAGACTTCTTTAGTGGTTATTAATTAAATAGTTGAGATTTGGTAGGGGTGAATTTTAGACCCCTTAACTATTAGTTTAACTATTATGAAAAATCAACTTACAAACTCATCTATGAATTCGTACATTTTGACCCTTTCAACTATAAAAATGTTGTCACTTTCACCTTTGGTTGATTTCCCTTTTTAGGCTCCCTCCACAAAGGATGTGTTTATACAATTTTCATAGTTGAAGAGAAACAATCTATACAGTTCAATAGATACGGAGTAAAGTAAACATCACTAATAATTGAGGAGGTCTTAGTGTAATTAATCGTCCTGGGTCGACTGTGTGTATGAGGGTTTGCGATTGTCTAATGGGCGAGTCAAATGTTATGCATGTTGTTGGCTATCATCATCTATGTCATTATGCTCACTTTATTTAACTAGGCTCAAGTATAGATTCTGAAATGAGAGTTTTATTCAAATTATTTCTTCACTGTAGCGCAGTATCAAGTATCGACCTTAAACCTGAGCTTGTATTTATGGACCCATGTGGAATTTGTAATATTGTTTGGGATTTGATGTAGTCACTTCGTCACTTGTAATCAAATATTTTGCATAGCTATTTTAATTTGTTAGGAATTTGAGTATGGAGTTTGATTTTGAGTAAATCCAAAACCCACTGCCAGGAAGACTTGTCGTTTGCAGATTTATTTATTTTTGATGGATGTTAAATGCCTTAAGTTCATGCAAAGAACTTGTTCAGTTATCTCTCACTATTTTCTTTGCTGATTGATGCAATTCTTTTCCTCCAGGCCAATCAAAATGAATGCAAAAAACATTATGGCCACCTTACAATGTAAGTGAAGCTTCTGGCAACTTAACTAATTTTGACAAATCCGGAGTGATGTTCTCAATCCAATGCATCTGCAACACTCCAATAAGCTCCATCTGCTCTTTCTTTGGGTGTTTCAACAAGCCAACACTTAAAGTAAAATATCTGGCCTACCTTCTTCATGGGCAAGGATCTAAAGCTGAAACTTTGGGTCCATGATTGAAAAAGTGTTGAGCTCAAAATGCAAAGGGTGGAAAATCTAAGCTTTTATCTCAGGCCGGTAAGGAAACTCTACTTCAAAGCTGTCGTTCAGGCTTGCCATCCTATGCCATGTATTTGTTTTGAAATGCCACACTCTTTCTGTTCTAAGCTAAATTCTCTTGTTCGAAACTGATCGGCTGGGAAGGGGATCCGATAACAAGGGCATTCTTGGGCAGTTGGGAATCAAAATGACAATTCCCAAACATCAAGGAGGTATGGGCCTTCAAATGATTTCAAAGCTTTTAATCAAGCTTACTGCTAAGCAAGGTGGCGTCTCCTTATGAAATCCTAATTCTTTCTGGGCCGTGTGTTTTATAAAGGGCCTCTACTTCCAAATTCCAATTTCTTGTAAGCGTAAGTGAAACATCCCAGGCATGGTCAAGCCCTCCTCAAAGGTAGGAACTATTTCGAAAATGGCCCGATGGCAAATCCAAAAGCCGGCAACCTTGCCTACTTTGGAGACAAGTGGGTACCTCACTAAAGACTTCAAAATTTGCTTCCCATAAAACCCTCCTATGTACTGTTCAAAAAGTCGCTGACAGTTATTGATCCCACTCATAAATGATGGAAGTGTGAATTCTCAAAGTGGCTTTTGAAAGAAGAATTTAGAGGCTGTTCTTGCATCCCAATTGCAAGCAGTTTAATAGAGATGATCTTTTAATATGGCACACACTTCCATCGGGCGTTATTCAGTCAAGTCCGGGCTATCCTTAGCCAAGCAGATTTG